GAGCCAGCCAGGTGTCCAGCAGCGGAGTAGGGATAAAGGAGACGCAGGACAGGTCCACCACAGTGTTCAGCCCCGAGGGAGGAGGACACGGCATCGCCTGCACCAGGGGGTCATCTGTGCAGCGGATCGACTAATGGGTCCCTTGTAACGCTGAACTGAGTCAGTGTGGTCTGGGCGTGGAAGGCCCACCTGAGGATTGTTGCCAATGGCATAAAAAGAGGCCTGGGGGGAAGACAGGGGTTGCTTTCTAGGAGATGCTTGGTCTTCCTGATGCAAACTTGGCTGCTCTCGTCAGAGGAGGAGCTCGGGGCCTCACTGTTGCTGGGAATGGCCGCTGCTCTCCTCAGGGAGCTCTGGTCTTCACTGTGAGTGTCTCTTCCTGGCTCCAGTGCAGACCCCTCAGCCTGGTGGCACAGGCCCTTCACCCCCCCGGCACAGGTTTTCTGGCTTCCACCACTGGCCTTGGTGGTAGAGATCCTTGATACAGACAAACACGAGACACTGCCGTGGGCTCTGGGCTCTCAGCTGGACTTGTGAGGGACACTGCTGTGGGATCCAGGCCCTGGGCAGGATCCTTTGGGTCTCTAGCGTGTAGCTGGTCTCTTAGACTCCGCTGCACTGGACTTTCTGGGTGACTATCATGAAATAATCCTATAAATTATGTGTCCTGTAGTAAATCTTTCCCCTTGCAAACCCTGACCACAACATCAAGTTAAATGGAATAAGCCAGATATAGGACACACGTTCGTCAGGCGTTTCATCTCCTAGGTAGAACTAAGAAAACAAAAAGATGGCCTGAAATGGAGGAGGGGCTGAAGGAAGGGAAGGGGCAGGGTGGCAAGACAGGGCCAAGGAGGCCGTCGTGATCAGCAGGCAGTGTGCACATGTGTGCACACCCAGAGCAAAAGCACGCATTTGTGCAACCAATATGCACTGATAATTACAGTGAAGATATGTAAAGAGCTCCCAGGCCCAACAAGAGACAAACAACCCAGTTAGAAGTGGATAGAAGATAGGAAGAGGCATTCCCCAGGTACACAATGGCAAATAAGCACAGGAAAAAATGCTCGACACTGTTGGCCATTAGGGAGATGCAAATTGAAAACACAAGTGGGCATCTTCGCTCACCCATCAGATGACTAAGTAAAGAAGGGACAGACCCAGTTGTTGGCAAGGACACAGAGATGCGGGACTCACACTTGCCTGGGGTTCACAGAGCAGAGCACACGGCTGCCACGCTGCCCAGCAGCTGCATCCGGGTGTTTCTCCCAGGCCAGCGAGGTCCACTTCCATGCACAAACCAGCACAGGTGTTGGCAGCTCTTTTGGCAGCAGCTGAACTTGCCGCAATGCCGAGGCCATTCCACAGGTGGACGGATGATACAGAAGCAAGAGCCCTGGCCCTGGGAGCATCTGTCCACTCTCGAGACACTTGCAACAGGCGAGGGAGCCACCGCGGGCTCTGTACAGCAGAATAAACGGGGAGGACTGGAGCTATCCACGGGCTAGGTGGGGCCGAGGGTGCTGGGCCTGGCTCCAAAAGGGGCAGGGCCTCGGCAGGCATCCTCGTCCGCGCTGACCCATGCAGCGCCCGCTGCGACGCTCCTTCCAGCCTGCACTGTGCCACCACCAGCATGGCCGGGGAAAAGGCTCACAGGGAGTCTGTTTTACTTTTTAAAATGCACATGGCCCTAAAATTGCCTTAAAACAACTTTTAATTTAGGAGATGCAAAGGTCCTGAAAGACAGATCGACCCAATCACAGACTGGGGACCCTAGAACTGCTTGTAACGTAGAAACCTGTACGAGGACCTTAGAGCCAGAGAGAGCTCACTCCCACCACTCCGCCTACCTCGGCGTGTGCTTCCTGTCTCGGCCCCGTGCCCAGGGAGGGTCACCCTGGGGACCCAGCGGAAGGGGCTGAGGAGCTCGGTGCTCTCCCCTCCCCTCCCATTCTTCAAGCTCTCTCTGCACAGGCACCGAACAGTGAGGGATGTGGGTGACAATCACAGAAAGGCACCTTGGACACTTACTTCATCAGAGAAATGTGAATTAAAGCCACAGTGAGATGCGCTGCACAGCTACCGGAGGAGCTAACATTTCACAATGTCCTCCGACCGCAAAAGCACAAAGGGATTTTTGTAGCTCTCTTGGGAAACCAGTGGCTTAATAGAGAGGTCCACAGGGGAGGGGAGGTGCCAGATTGGATGCGCGTGCATCGTGGCGAGGGACACGCCAATGGACAGTGTCCTGGGTCTGTCACCTGGGATCCAGGAGCTTTTGACTCAGAGGCAAAGCTCATCTCTAAGCTGCGGTTGGGCACCAGCCACCCCTTAGCAGCCACGGCCCTTCATGCCCCCAGGTCAACCACTAGGGGGAGCCCGAGGCCTCGTCCTACACGGAAGAGCCCTGGGAAGAACCGGTCCACACTCTGCAGAAAGCCAGGAGGCAATTTCCCCCGGGAGGCTGCACCATCCCGCTGTCTTCTGTGTGCACCTGCAGGGGCTGTGGATGGCGGGGAGACTCGCCTCACCTGCGAGACCTCCTCACTTACAGGCCACCCTCACTGGGCCATGCTCGTGTCCAGTGGCAGCTGTACGTGTATGTGGTCGCTTGCTCCCCAGTGTATTTTCTCTGCCCTGCGGCTTGGGGTCTGGCCTCCCTCCCTCGGGCCCTCTGTCTCCTCCTCACCAGTCTGGTCTTGGTGCAACTGGGGTCCCCAGAGGCCCTGCCTGGTCCCCCTCCATCCCCAGAAGGGCCACAGTCCCCCACCAGGACCTGCACCTCCTGAACACAATTCCAGGATTCATCCTGCGGACCCTGCTTCCCTCACTGCTGTCTGGGACCCTGGGGTGTTATGATTCGTACCCAGATGTCCCCAGAGCCTCATGCACTCACAGGCGGGGCTTTGGGAAGGTGAGTGGATCATGGGTGTGTGATACACATGGGTTTGTAGCTGCTGTGATGTTGGGAGATGCAGCCTGGTTGGAGGAGCTGGGACACTGGGGGTGAGGCCTGGAAAGCTCTCTCTCTCTCTCCCTCCCTCCCTGATCTCTCTCTGCTTCCTGCTACCATGCCAGCAGCTTCCCCCTACTATGCGCCTCTGCCAACCATGGCCTGAAACCGCTACAAGTGAGCTAAGACAAACCTTTCTTCCTTACAGTTGTGTCAGCTATCATGTCTCAACGACAAGAGAGTAACTAAGGGTGGAAGAAACAATCTGGTGGCTGCTGTCCTAGAGCCTGCAAGGCCTCCTTCCTGGCCCCAGGGCCTTGGCAGGGCAGGAGAGGCCTGGGCAGAGGCGGTGGGCACCTGTGGGCATCTTGGACCAGGCTGTGCCCTCTTCTGGAGCCAGGCGCAGGCACCAGGCCCTCTCCCACCTCCCCCAGACAGCTGTGGGGGTGATGGCCCTGGCAGCCAGGGGACCCTGCAAAAACCCCATCCAGCCTGTCCCATCAGCCCCCGTCACCAGCAGGTAGCAGCTACATGTGACCCTGGTGCTGGGCTGCTGGGCCCTGGGGCGCCCCCTCTGCCACCTCAAGGAGCACATCTACCTTCACCATGGTCCCAGGTCCCGGCCACCTCACCCCTCCAGTGGCAGTGCCGGCTGTAGCCCGGTCCGTGTCCAAGGTGGCTGCAGTGAGACCCAGGGGGGCTAAGTTCCAATGCCATCGCCCGGTGCCCAGCGCGTGGCTCGCACGTGACGGACTCAGATCTGAGAGGAGCTGGCGTTCTCGGAAGCTCCTCAGTGACTCCATCACTGCTCAGGGCCGTCCCCAGTCCCTCCCAGGCTTCCTCCTGGTCTTGCTCGGCTCCTTCGTGGGCGTCACCCAGGCGTCTCTAGAATGAGGCTTTGGCTTGGGATGACGTGACTGTGAGCACGTCCACGGCGCCCCCATTAATCCAAGTTTCATCTTGTGCACCCAGGCGAACAGGTGCACACACGTGTACACACAAACGCTGAAATGTGTCTGCACAAGTACACACACGTGTACACACGGTGCACGCACCCCCACGTGACCTGAAAAGCTCCCCTCCCCCACCGCCTGAGGGACAGGAAGCCGACAGCCAGGGGCACTGCCAGCAGGAGCCAGGGTGTCGCGGTACTGCTAGGTCTTCCACTTGGGCCCCCAGCTGCCCCTGGCCCTTCCTTCCTCCGAGTGAGGGAATGGTTGCATAACCTGGAAGCCGTGGGCAGCCCAGGCCTCCACCCCAGCCCGTCAGCCTGTGCCTGTGCTGGCTTCTCTGTGCCCTGGGAGCCCCAGTCCTCTTAGTCTCGGTGGCAGAGACTACGCTTAGCTCCCTGAGGCCCCAGGCTCCTGCTGCCTGGGCCCGCGTGGGCTCCATGGTCATGTGGGGCTGGGGCTGGCTCTTGGGGCGTGCATGTGTGGCCTGGGCCTCTCCTGGGCCCTCTCAGGGCCTTAGACCCCAGGGACCCTGGCCCTGGAGGCGGCCTTGGCCATACAGAGTCAGCCGCCCTCCACGGAGGGCAAAGCAGCCCCCATCCCACATCCGGGTGCTGTGTCTGAGGGGTCCCAGGAGCCCAGCTCACCGAGGGGCGATGTTCACTGCAGACCCTGAAGCGACTGCAGGCCCCGTGGGAGTAGGGAACGGGAGCCCAGGCCTCATGGCAAAAGCAGGAACCTCTGCCCCATGCCTCCTAAGCTGGGGGCACACAGCGCTAGGGCAGTGTTCCCGACCCTGTGCTGACTGTCCTAGTGCTGCCACCCACTCGAGCAGGGGTCTGGGGTGTTCCAGGTCCGGCCGTGAAAGCCTCTTGCCCAGGAGCAGTCCTGGAGCTCTGGCCCAGCCCAGCCCCAGCCTGACCTTTTCAGCAGAAGCACCTGTCGCCCCAGGGGTGCCAGCGGCCCGCCCCATGTCCTGGTTATCCAAGCATGCTGGTCTGGGGTGGCAGGCCCCCGCCAGGTTCTGAGGGTATATATGCAGCCTCTCGGGGGCCCCACTACCCACGAAGACCTGCTGCACCCAACAGCACGTCAGGATGAAGCTGCTGCTGCTGAGCCTTGGGCTGGGCCTGGCCTGTGCCCTGCAGGACTCCAGTGAGGCACCTGTGCAGCCAGGCTTCCAGCCTGAGGAGGTGCATGTCCGCTCTAGGGGGAGCCAGGAGGGCACCCTGTGTTCCCCGAGGCTTCTCCTGGGCCTGTCCCCTCAGTGCCCTGTGCACCCCAACCTCGCAGCTCCCGGGGCACAACTGCCTGGGGTCCAAACAGTACAGGGACCATTGGCGAGGCCTCCTGACCAGGCGTGCCCTGCTCACTGACCGGAGGCCTCACCTGGGTGAGGATGCTCCCTTCTGGTGGAGGCTAGGGTGTGGGCATTGTCGGTGGCCAGCGGGCACCTGGTTGCCCAGCTCGGCTGGGTGGGGGCAGAGTCAGTAGTCCCAAGGCTGTGCCCAGCACAGGGGAGCCAGGTGAGCCTACACCCACAGCCCTATGGGTGCACCTGCCCTCCCTGCTGTGGCCCAGGCTCTGAGCAGATCTCTGGGGGCTCAGTGGTCAGGTGGTGTCTGTGCTGCAGGTGGAGGGGCCCTGGCACACCCTTGAGCTGGCTGCCACTAACCGGTCTGTGATCATGGAAGGAGGCTCCTACCGGTGTTTCATGATTGGCCTCAGAACCCTGAGGAACGGAAACCTGGATGTCATCTACTTCCAAAGGTGAGGGCCCGGCCCAGCGGTGGCCCCACCCCAGCCCTTTCCCCGGGACCCATCTGCTCCCCGCTCAGCTGGGGGCCTGGTGACTGGTCAGTCCCAGGCTGCCCTCCAGGTGGGTGGGGTGGCACCCCGCCGAGATGAACGTTCTGGAAGCGCATCCGGAAAAGCTGGCTTCTCCTTAGGAACGAGGACGGGAATTGCGTGAAGGAATCTGTCACTGGGGAGAAAACTGACACCCCTGGCGTCTACACCTTCCAGTGTGAGTAGTGACCCACTTGCTCCCCAGGTGGGAGCCAGGCTGGGCGCAGCTGGTTGTTGGTGTAAATGTGATGCGGGGGTGGTTCTCTGGAAGCCACAGTGAGAAGCTGGGGGCAGAATGGAGAGGTGACCCCCGAGACCTGGCAGCTGCATTCTCTGCCATTCAGAATCCAGAGCAGCAGCCTGCAACGGGGTCTCCCGGCTCCCAGGGCTCCCTGTAAACTGTGCACAAAATGCTCAGGGTTGGAGGGGAGGTCAGAGGGAGGAGCAGGGCTTCGGGCCGCCTCATCTGGCCCAGGGTCTGGGTGTGCTTTACCCCCAGGACAGAGTTCTCAAGGAGGCTTGTGGGGCTGCTGGAGAGGGGTGGGGGATGCAGGGGCACAGAGGGTGCCAGGCCTCACATGCTCGGGCAGGTGACCACAAAGAGCGATTTGAAAATGGGTAACGTTGAGAAAGGCAGGAAGCCTTTGTATGGAACTGTGCCCACTCAGTGCCACCTGGAAAGGCAGGGCACAGGACTGGGCCAGATCTTCACGGCCTGCCAAGGTGGAGGACAGGCCTGGCTGCTGGGTTCTCTGGCACAGATGCCAACAAGAACGAAGGCCTTGTCCGGGAGAGGACGTGTGGGTGATGTATTTGGAGAATCCTAAGAAGTCCATCCCTCGACCAAATGATCATTGCTGGCGCAAAGAGAAAGGGAGAAGTGCAGACTGGTAGCTTAGCTCAAAAAGCTAGTTAGGAGTAGTACCCCTGCCTCATTCATTAAGAAACAGATATGTCTTGTGGCTTTTTGAACCATAACTGAATAGATCTCCTTCCCAGAATTCAGATGATAAATGGCTGACAGCATATTTTTGTTGGACAGTCCACATTTAAGTAAAACTGGCTTGTATTTGTTTTGTTTTGTTTTGTTTTTTGTACCAGAGATTGAACTCAGAACTTTGTGTTTGTAGGGCATGTGGCGGAACCCCTGAGCTAAGTCCCCAGCTGGCTTGTGTTTCAATGGAAGTGATCTTTTTTTTCAAGTTTTGATAGTCATTCCAGCTCAGCGAATCCTCCCACTGTTTTCTCTTTTTAAAAGATGTGGTTGGACTTGATTAGTAATGTTTGATTATTCACAGAGACGGGAATGTCCTCCCAAAGTCTCCTGAAGGCTAGTCCATACCTAGGTTTATAACTGGTTATGTGACTACCTTTATACACCGGGGAAATCCTTCCTTGTCTCAGAACCGAGCAAGACTCGCCTGCCTCGATTGTGTTTATTAACTGGTGAAAGGCAATGGTTGAAGACAAGGAAGCAATATCTATATTTGTGTTCTTGACTATGCCTATTTAATTAGTGTTTCCTGTATCTAAGTGCTGCCTTTCACTTATTGAAAGGGATTTTAGTGTGGTGTATGTATAATGCCAAATAAAGAATATTTAACACTTCTCGGAAAAGAGAAAAGACAGAGAGAGACTGGGAGCAGGACTTGGCGCAGTGGCCTGGGTCCGTGGGATTGGACTGGGCTCTGGCTGGCAGCTCAGGGGGCTGAACCTTGGAGAGGGGGTCGGGGCTGCCTGGGCCAGGCAGGCACAGAGGATGGGGCGGCCGTGCTGGATCCTGATGCTGTGTCTCCTGCCTCCCTGAGTAGACAAAGGCAAGAACACCCTGACTTTCGTGGCTGCGGGCAGCGACTTTGTCATCATGGACTTCGAGAACAACAGCCTGAGCCTCGCGGTGGTTGAGCTGCTGGGTGGGTGCCTGAGTTGGCCACGGGGAGGAGGGGGCGGGAGGAGACCCTTGTCTCGGGACAGGAGAGCGGCCTGGGACCTCACGCCTGGGCAGTGAGGCTTGGTGGGCACCAAGCAGGTGGCCGGTAACCATGGTGCCCCGGGCTGCAGCTCGGCCTCCCCTTCTCTTGGTGAGCCCACCTGGGCAGGAGGCCTACAGCGAGCACCTGTCTAGATGGGGCATCGGGTCGGACAACGTGGAGGACCTGACTGTGCAGGGTGAGCTGCCCTTTTGTCCCCATACCTCCCACGGGCTCAGAGGCCACAGCTCCTCAGGAGGCCTCAGCCCCTTAGGAGACCCTCCTGGGGCAGCCAGCTGGAGGACAGGGTTAGCTTTGGGAGTGAGCCCGGCCTTGGTAGTGGGGAGGGCTGCCCTGACCTCCCTTCTTCTTCCACCCACAGCGCGATGCCCCTCCCTGGGCTCCTAGGTGAGTAGACGCCTGCAGTTCAGCTCTGTTTTGGCAACAGCTCGCGGGGAGCATCTCCCAAGCCCACCTGGTACATGGCCAGGACTGCAGGGCCCAGCCTGAGCCACTGTCAGGGGACAGGAAGACAGGCTGTGCGGGGGCTCACGGGGCTTGGCATCGCCCGGGCGACCATGGCCCCCAGTCACCAGGGCTCGGAGGGGCAGAGACCAGAGCACAGGCCTCAGCTGCCCTCCCATCTGCAGCCACCTACGCTGGATGCCCCAGTGCACACACACCAGCCTGTGCACACCAGCGCACATGTGCACACACGCATGCATGCACACTCAACCACACACGTCCACACTCCTTCACACACGCTCCTTCTGAAATCTCCCTGGTTGGCCAATCTCACCTTTGGCTTGCTCCCCACTTCCCTCACCCCGAGTGTCCTGCCCCCTCTTCTGTGTAGAGTCCTTTACCAGCTGCCTGGTCTCCCTGCACCCCACCCAGCTGTCGGGCTCCTCACTTGCACCCTGGCTCCCGGGGCAGGCCTGCCCCACTCCTCCCGGGCAGCAGGCTGGAGCCTTTTCACCTCTGTCCTCCTCCGCAGCTTGGGAATGTGAGGACACACACAGGCCCCTGAGAAGCTCCAGAATCACAGCCGGAGGGAGCAGGAGGCCGGGGTCTGTGACCTCGAGGGCTTTGCCCCGGTCTGGGAGGCTCGGGGGTCCAGGGGTTCAGACATGGGGCTCACAGGGCCCTTGGGTCCAGGACAGCAGGACAGTGGAGGGGAAGGGAGGAGGGGACAGCTCGGGAACTGCAGCCCCTGCTGGGCTGAAGGTGCAGCTGAGCATCTGGTCCCCAGACCTCCGCAGCACGACCGAAACCGAGCCAGTGTCTCTCGCAGCCTCTGCTTCCAGACTCCTGCCCAGAGCAATAAACAGGTTCTGCATCTGCTCATGGCTCAGGGCCTCTTGTCTGTGCACAGTGGCGGTGGGGCTCCTGGGCTCTCAGGAAAGGCTGCTGGATGGGGGCAGAGAGCCCTGCGTCCCCAGCCCTTGAAACTAGCAGAGTGGGTGACAGGGAGGACCTAGAAACCCTGGGCCCAGGTGCAGCTGGGCAGTGGAGGGGCCACGTGGAGTGCTGGGCTGCCAGGCCCCACCTGTCTGTGCTGACCCAGGGGACCCGGGCCCCATGTCTGTCCCGCCCGCTGCCTCAGTGTCCCTGGCTGCTGCTCCCACATAGGCCTGGGAGTGTGGGAGTTGAGCTGGCACCTGCTGGGGCCGCACTTCGGGGTCCCACAAGCTCCTGGCCAGAGTCCCCCACAACGAAGGAGGTGGGGCCTGGAGGCCAAGGGAGCTGTAGGGGGCAGGGTACCAAGGAAGGTGTTGAGTTGGCAAACCAGGTTCTGCATGGGGCACCAAGGCCAAGAGGACCCTAAAAACTTGGGCCCCATGCCAGCCTGGACATGCAGGGAGGGGTATGGGGCTGGAGAGGTGGGTGGAGGGGGGGGGCTGTCTGCAAATGGGGGTGCACCGCTGGCTCAGGGCCTGGCTGCACCGTTCCTCTGTCCCTACCACTCAGGGGCCCAGCTAAGTGGGCTCGAGGGGACCGAGGGCATGAGAGAGACAGACACCCTGGGAGGAGGGCAGCCTGGGAGCAGGATGGGCCCTGTGGGAGGGGCCAGCGTGCTTGCGTCCTCCTCTCTAGAGTCCTCCTGGCCTCGCCTGATTCCAGCACAGACTGGCCGGGCAGCCAGGCCCTCTGCAGGTCACGTGGACACGGACACAGGGGCGGCCTCTGCCCCAGGAAGGACCAGCTGGTCAGGGCCAGACGGACAGCAGAGTCAGCCAGACAGTGGGTCTTGGACAGTCGAGGAGAAGAGGAGCCGACTGCCATGACGCTGGAGGGAGGGCTGCTGCTGCTGCTGGCTCTTGGCCTGGGCCTGGCTGGTGCCCAGAAGGCTCTGGACGAGGTGCCAGTGCAGCCAGGCTTCGACCCCCAGAAGGTGGGTGTCATGGGTGGGGCCCACTTGGCTCTGGGTGAGGCCTGGAGGGGCAGGGGCGGGGTTCACTGGGGACTCTGGGGACATCCACGACTGACTCCACTCCCCCCGCCGGCCTGGCCATCCCAGATGGGGCTCCTCCCCGTCTGCCTGGCCCTGGGGGCCCAGCGACCACGGTCAGGGATGGGGGCTGTGGACAGCACCAGGCCCGGAGGACGTAGGACGTCCTGTGTCTGGGACACAGTGGCCCTTCCATCTGTCCTCCCTGGACTCGTAGGGCGTGGAACTCGGGCCAGATTGGGCAGGGGCCGTAGGATGAGGCAGCAGGGAAGGGGAGGGCAAAGAGAGGGGAGTTTGTCAGCCAGGAAGCCACAGCGTGTGCCACCCGGGACCCATGGGAGTTCGCAGAGATGCTGAGGGGATGTCTGGTTCCCCCCTGGGGCCACACCCCCTGCTGGTCTCACTCAGAGCCCACGCAGGGCCCGGGTTACCTGTGGCGGGGCCGGGCCAGCCTCACCCTCTGCCCACACCTGCAGGTGGAGGGACGCTGGTTCACTGTCCAGCTGGCCTCCAGCCACGCGCACCTGGTCTCCCCGGAGGACCCCCTGAAGCTGTCCCTCCACTCCATCCGGACCCGGGACGGCGGGGATGTGGAGTTCATGCTGTTCTGGAAGTGAGTGTGGTCCCCACAGTCTTGGGGCCCAGGGACAGCACCAGTGCTCAGAGCCAGAGGGGCCCGAGTGTGGCCGAAGCCTTAAGAGGAGGGGGCAGGACAGACAGCCTGGGAGGCTTCGGCTGACCGCACTGTCCCCACTGCCCACAGGCCCTGCTGTCGGGGGACCCCGAGCCCGGAGTTTTTAGTGTGGGATCTCCAGCGTTAAGGGCAACCCGGGACCCCAGGCAGGACGTGCCTGCCGCTCTGCACAGCCCTCCCTGGCTTGGAGGGCACTTCCACACCAGCCCACTGCCCTGGGGCCTGACCGAGAGCCTGGCCTGGGGGCTCCCCCCTGTGCACCGCAGCGTAGGGACCAAGCTGTGTCCTGCAGACTCCTGTGCCCCGGACAGTGGCACCGGGACTGGGAATGGCTGCCTGCTGCACTCGCGCCCCAGAGGACTTGCGCTGGGACGGGGCGGGGTGGCTTCCACACAGAGCCGGAATCAGGGGCTCAGGACAGGTCCCCTACCTGGACCTTGGGACCAGGGCTCAGAGCCGGGGTCAAGGACACTGGGCTGTGAGGCGTCCCTGGCAGAGCCCGAGCAGTCAGTCCACCCCCTGTGCGGGCCAGAGGAGCCTGGAAAGGTGGCGGTGTAAGCATCCCCTCTTTCCTCAGGGGAGAGGGTGCCTGTGAAGGAATAAATGTCACCGTCCACCCAACTGGGCTGCAGGGCCAGTACCTCGGCTCCTGTGAGTACCCCTCCTCTGGGCGGGCGGGGGCTCGGGGATGCCCAGATGCCTGGGGAGCTGCTGGCTTTGGGGGGCAGTGGGTGCTGGGAGGGGCCCATGCCCATTGTGCTGCCCATGGGGGCTGGAAACAGAGGAGAGGTCCCTGCATCACCGGCTGGGTCTCCCCAGTTGAGGGGGGCCGCATGCACGTCCGCTTCGCCAGCACCGACTACACCAACCTCATCCTTTACGTACGATTTGAGGACGACGTGGTCACCAGCCTATGGGTGCTGCTGGGTAGGTCCTGGGGCAGGCAGGACCTTGGGGTGCCAGGGTCAGCGGGTGGGGGGCTCAGGGAGTCAGGGAGCAGGATCACCAGGACCCAAGTCCTGGAGGTGTCAGAGGGAAGCATTCTGGGAGAAGAGCTGAGGGGTGTGGGGGAAGAGGGTCCTGAAGGCCAGGAGAGGGGCTGAGGGCCACAGGGGAGGCCAGCTGAGGCCAGGGCTGAGAGCCCTGCACTGAGAAGGGAAGTGCGTGGAGCTTCTGGCCTCGCCTGGTCGGGGGACAGCGGCCCCCACCCCTGCGCTGGGGAGGAGCAGAGGCGAGGCTGCTGCCCACTGCGGCCTCACCCCAGCCTCCCATGTGAGCCCGGAGCCTGCCTGGGGACCCCGCGTGGCTGCAGAGGTTCCAGGAGCGAGTGGAGCACTTCCGCCTGCACCGAGCTCCCGTCTCCAACACGGCCGGTGAGTGCTGCCCCTGCCTCAGCCCTGGCCGGCCCAGAACAGTAACCGCGGGGGATGGCTGGGGGACACGGCCCCTCCACCCGCCTCCAGCGTGTGCAGACGCCAGGGTGGGCACTGGGGAGCGGGGCTGGGCCTCCACCAGGGCACCAGAGCGTGGCCATCAGGACGTGGCCCCACGGGGCAGGTGGCAGGGGCACCGCGGACAGTGTTGTGCTGTGGTGCCCGGATTCCCCGACTGGAAGGCAGCCCCCAGTCACACCCCTCTCCGTGCCACAGGCCCGTGCCCCCCGCCCAGGCTGGCGTGAGGCGGCTCCCAGCTTCTGCCTGTGCTCTCCACCCTGCGCGACCCTCAGCCCTCCTTCCCTTCACCCAGCCCGGCTGCCCCTCTGCCGGGAGCCCTGTCCGCCTTGTCCTTGCCCTCCCACTCTGGGCCACCAGGTCCTCAGCCAAGAGCCTTGAAGGGACCCACAGTGCCCCCCAAGCTGCCCTCAGCCGGAAGAGCCCTCCGGGGCCGTGGAGAGGGTCCCCGGAAACATCCTGCACTGGGCCGATGGGGCCGCCCACGGCGTTCTCCTCCCAAGGGCGACTGAGGGACCTGGGTGAGACCTCAGGACAAGGTGGAGCCTCCAGAGCTACCTTGGCCCCAGAACCTGCTCCCCAGCGGAGCCCCACCCAGGCGTGTCTGGCCCGCCCCAGCTGGCAGGCCTGGGAAAATGGGTCAGACACTCAAAGCCTCCTTCCGAGAGGCCTGGACAGGCCTGGCCGGATGCCTGACCCAGAAAGTGCCCCTTGGAGCCTGTGGGGATCGAGAAGGCCGGCCAAGGCCTTCCAAGCTCGGTGAACATGACCCAGTTAGGTCCAGGGGCTGTGTGGGCATCACCGCAGGAGACTCAGAGCTGGCCGCAAACACGGCTGCAGCAGACACGGAACACAGCGGCTTCCCACAAACCAGCCCTGGGGAAACCGCAGGCAGGCACATGCAGGCTCAGAACCGGAGAGGGCGCTGCACGGGAGAAGACAGCAAAGGCCTCATCAGGCCTGAAGGGTGTCGGCGACGGAGCTGGGCTTCCTGTGCCTGAGAGCCAGGTACTCCCACGGCAACGTGAACACACGCAGATAAATGAGCCGTTTCTGCTTGTTCCGCAATATCGCAAAGGGTTAGCGGCCCTCAGGTTAATCTACAGCTTGCAGACAATTAAATCCAGGCTCCAGGGGGAGACTTTTCCCAGATTACAAACCTGGATCTAAATTTACATGAGGAATGGAAGTTTTGAAATGTTCTATAAAGAAAAGCAGTGAGTGTAGCTGGACATGGTGGCACATACCTGCAATCCAGGACTCGGGAGGCTGAGGCAGGAAGACGTCCATGAGTTCGAGGCCGGCCTGAACTACATAGCGAGACTGTGTCTCAAAAAACCAAAAAAGGAAAGAAAAGTAGTAGAAATGGATCCGCTGCCCTGTGGTAGTATCGATAAGCACTAAGGAAAATCAGGTGGCAGATCTCAGGACAGACAGAAAGACAGTGTTCAGTCAGGACACAAAGCCAAGAAATGAACGCAGTGTGTACTGATTTCACATGGCCGTCATACAAGCGGCGTTATTACAACAGCGAAGGGGGAAGTCGCAGCTCCCGAGGGAAGGCGGTGAGGCCCCCGCACTGCGCCGGGCCTTGAAATTGGTGCCTAAGAAAGACGGGCCCTGAGGTGCCCATGCTGCCTGCACCTCTGAGACGGCAGCCGCCCCAGGCACAGGGCACAAGGAGGCTTCAGCTCTGGGGCATCAGAGGCCCGGGCCACACGGTGGGGAGTCAGGACACGGGCCGCGTGTGCAGCAATGACAGAGGAGCAAGCAGACACCCGGAAAAAGGCCCCTGGCCTGGAAGAGGCCATCCCACAGCCACTGACGCCCAAGGCTGACAGAGGGATTTAACCCGAGTCCAACTCTGTCACAATCCTACTTCTAAAAATCAAAGGAGGAATTCTTTCTTTTGATGGCACTGGGGATTGAACCCCGGGCCTTTGCACTGGGCCACATCCCCAGCCCTTTTTATTCTTTGAGGCAGAATCTCACCTAGTGCTAAGTTGCCCAGGCTGGGCATGAACTTGCAATTCTCCTGCCTCAGCCTCCCGGAGTGCTGGACTACAGGCCTGTGCCACCATGCTTAACTAAAAGTTAAATGCTTTTTTAAGATTCCTTAGTGTGCACTGGCAGAAACGCCCACGAGGAGCAGGGATGGAGGCCGGAGGCTGGAGCGACCTGGTTTTCCTGTCTCTAAGCGAGCTCTTGGACTGGCAATTCTAGACATTGACAAGTTTGCACGTCGTGCCTGGTGTGGTGGCGCATGCCTGTGATCCAGCACTTGGCAGGCTGAGGCAGGAGGATCACCGAAAGTTCAAGGCCAGGCTGTACTACACAGTGAGATCCTGTCTCAAGACAAAACAAAAAGTTTACTTGTTATTCTCCCAGATAAATCAAGAAATTTAGGATTGTTTAATATTACTCCATGACTTTTTTTTTGGTACCGGGCATCGAACTCAGGACCTTGTGCTTGCGAGGCAGGCGGTGGAACCACTGAGCTAAATCCCCAGTTGTACTCCACAATTTTTCTAAAGGTAAAATTTTAGGAACCTTCTCAATAAATTACCCTCATCCATAAACCGGCAGGGGAAAAATATCTTGTTTAGTGCAATACTCCCTCTCTAACCCCGGTCAGACAGACTGCTGGTTAATAGTTGTAGATGTAGATTTGTGGGTAACATAGCATTTGGTGCCTCTCTCTCTGCCTCTCTCTCTCTCTCTCTCTCTCTCTCTCTCTCTTCCTCTCTCAATTGAGACAGGGTCTTGCTATGTAGCCCAGGCTGGCCTCAAGCTCATAGTGATCCTCCTGCCTCAGCTTCCCAAGTGCTGGGATCGCAGGCGTGCGCCACCATGCCCAGCCCTAGTTCCTCCATCTTGAAATTCATGTGGCTGATTTTAATGGAGAAGGACTCTGCAAGATGCAAGAGTAGAGTCACCAAAAATGTCATTTTCCTGACTCCAAGGGACAGCAGCAGGACAGGTGGTGACAGACATGGCCGGGGACAGCCCGGTGTGACCTGCATGTGGTGAAGTAGCAGAGGACATGTGGGTTTCAACCCTGGGCCTGACCCGGAAGCCAAGCCTGACTTCTCCACCTGTTTCCGGTTCCCTGCCTGGCGTGTTGGTGGCACTGTGCATTGTCAGTGTTCCACTTGTGCGGAGTGCTGAGTGTGTACCGAGCGGCTCACTGGGGCCACAATCACAGGGCTGGGCCAGGCAGCTTCCGCCTTGCTGTCGCTCGTGGCCCTGGAGGCGGAGGCCAGAGACCACGGCTGGCAGGGTGGGCAGCTCCCCTGAGGTCTCCTCCTCAGCCAGCACGGCCTTTCCCGGGTCCTCGCTGAGTTGTTCCCCCCGAGCGTGTCTGTGTCCAGACCTTGTCAGATTGGGTGAAGGCCGCCCGAGGGCTTCGTTCTAACCAGCGACTCTGGAAGACGCTGTCAACACGCGGTCACACCCTCCAGAGTGGGGACAGGGTTCAGCCACAGTGGCGGCCACCACAGGGCCGGGTCACACTTCTGAGCGGGAGCTCAACCCCACTACCCTGGGATCCGCTCACAGACCACAGCCCAGGGCAGCTGGCCCGGGACACGGTTCTGACCCAGCTCCACTCTGGCAGGGCCCCTTCAGCATGGGCTCCATAGGCTCTGCTTTTAAATTACAAAGAAACTCGTGCTCTGACACCATGGATTTGCCCTCTGTGACCACAGGCACTCGGCCGGGCCCAAGCCACCCTGCTCTGAAACCACACAGGGTATCAGAGGCCCAGGCTGACAGAAATGGTTCTTCCTTTACACTTCACACTTCCATTTTGGGAAGAGATTTTTATTTTTTTTATCAACTACAGTCTTTCTCCTTTAGAAAGAATGGCTCTAGAAAAAAAGTATTTCCATGTTTCTAAACACAGAAAGATAGCCTCACGGTGTGTGGAAATTAAATAATCGCCTGCTGCTCTTTATCCTCTACTGGTCAAAGTGGATGGGCCAAAGCTGGAAGGAGGAAACTCTCCGTTGGAAGGGCCACGTTTGCAGTCTCTGAGGAGTGGACTGCTCTAAACTGCCCGCATGTGGGTGCCGCCCTCAGATGGCCCTGGGGTCCTGAGCCACCTGTACCTGCAGCACCTGGGGAGGCAGGATGAACTTGGCGTCCCAGCTGTTCTCCGGGGACAGCAGCTTGGTGGGCCTGTGGAGGAAGAAGCACTTGTTGAGGTGCTTCCTGTAAGTACTGCTGAGCCTGTTCTCCAGGTCCTGAAGCATGCCCTTCAGACACTGGTCCACGAGGCCAGCATCTGCCAGGGCAGGCCTCCCACGACGGAGCCCCTGTAGTAGAAGTCGCCCTGTCTGAAGGGAATGTAGGCCACTGAGCTGGGCCTCTACTCATGGGGGAAGCTCTGGGTGTTCGGGAAGTACCACCAGGCGTGCAGCTGGGCCACCGATGCACCCAGCGTCTCCAGGCCAAAGTCATCCTGGAAGACCAGACTGCTGGCCATGCTGAAGAGGAGCTCCACCTGGTCCTTGATGTGGCTCAGCAGGTGTTCCTGCAGGACCTGCAGGCACACGAGGTCCAGGCTCGGGCCACCACTGCTCCTCACCCGCCATGAGGATCTGGAAGCTCTGCAGGGGCCTGGGCTGCACATCGGGCGGGTCCACATAGCTGTCCAGGATGAGGTAGAAGACCATCTGCTGACCGTGCATGAAGTGTATGGTGGCCGAGTGCAGGAAATGCTCCAGGTGCCCCTCTGCAGACCTGGGGCATACAGAGCGAGGGAGGGGCTGCTCACGGGGCCCAGGCAAAACCCCGTGTGCTACCAGAAGCGTCACTGAAGCTGAAGGTCCCAGCAGAACTAGGAAATGTGCATGACAGAGCTGAGTGGACATGAGCCCGAGGGGACTGGCCACAGTGGAGAACAGAGCGATGCATTTCCTGGGCAGGCCATCCAGGCTGCTCAGAGCGGGAAGAGGGCCCAGGACAGAGGCTGTCATCATGTTTGCAGAACAGAAAGGCAAAGCAGCCGGCCCCCGGGAGGCTCTGCCCCTCTAGTGCCTCCGCAGGGCCTACCTTCCCACAGCACTGGGGCCAGCCAGCTGGTGACCTCCAGGATGTCCAGGCATCTCCTAAGGGCACACAGAATGAGCTGAGCAGGTGCTGCCATGTGTGGCCACAGCTAAGGCTGGCAGGGCACCTGCTGCTACCAGCCGGGCAAGTGGGCACAGTCATCACCCCTCAGCCTGGCCAAACCTGAGCGCCCATTATGCAGGAGCAAGAGGCAGACAGCCAAACACGCTGTCTCGCAGGGCACACCCCGCATGGCCTCTGAGCAGGGGCCACAGAAAGGCAGCCGGAGTCCGCGCATTTGTGGTCACCGCCCGAGTCGCCTCTGTCAGGGCAGGACCACGGCCTCCCTGAATGCCGTTCATCTCCCGCCCTCGTTCCCTCTCTGTCTCTCTTGGTCTCGAGCGCACTGAGGCCATCCAAGTGGCCAGAAGAAATGAAGAGAGGAGTAAAGGTAGGAGAGAGCCATTAGAAGCGCTTTCAGTCACAAGGATGAAACAGGATCCAAGGCACGCCGGGCTGCTCCAGCATCTGAAGACCCACATCAGCTGCCACACGCAGTGAGAGAACCACCACACCCTCCTCGACTGACAGGAGAGCATTATGCCACCACCGCATTCACGATAGAAGCTCCCAGAGCAAAGCAGGGATGCCAGGAATTATCGGAGGCCGGTCAATCCCCCGATCTGCCTAGAGAGGGGCTACGAGGGCTAAGGACAGAGACAGTGGAGACATCATTGTGTAACACAGGAGGGCCTGGGAGGTCAGTGCCTCAGAGTGGGCAAAGACAAAGCCACTCTGCGCTGGCACTCCTGGGTGCACGGTAATCGGAGAGAGTGTCAGGTGACTTAGAGGCAGCGGTGATCCATCCTATGTTGACAAGGATCTTATGCTGATGAGGACAGTGAGATGGGCAAAGCAATTCACAGTAGTAGGTGGGACGAGTTAGGCTGATAAGGAATTTGTCCCTCCCTCAGGTGAGACCTTTCTCTTTTTTTTAAGAATATATGTACAAATAGTTGCTTTTTATTTATTTATCTTTTCAAAATTTTTTTGGTACCGGGGATCGAACTCAGGATCTCGCACTTGCGAGACAGGCAGCAGAACCACTGAGCTAAATCTCCAGCCCAAAAAGTTTTTATTTTATTTGTTTTTTTTTTTTTTTTTTTTGAACTGGGGATTGAACTCAGGTCCTTGCACTTGCAAGGCATGCAGCGGAACTACTGAGCTAAATCCCTGGCCCTCTTTTTCTTTTTTTTATTACTACTCGGTTCTCAAAGAACCAGGATGTCTTCAGCTGATGTGATCTTACTTTATTTATTTATTTATTTATTATTACTATTATTTTTTGGTGTTGGGAATTGAATTCAGGGCCTCGCCCATGCCAGGCAGGCGCTGCCCTGCTGAGCCACATCCTAGGCCAGCTGGTGTGACCTTGCCCTTGAGCTCACAGCATCATAGGGGCATCGAGGCCTCAGTTGTGACTGGAGGCACATGGAGCAATGTTTCTGCATGCCGTGGCCAGCTCACAGGCAAGGAGACTCGGCCTCAGACAGCACTAAGGGTAATTTAATTATGAAGTGATTTTTCCCAAAAAATCATATAGAATGGCTCTGGACAGGGAATGACCTTGTTAGGGCTTAGATTAAGAATGTTCCCCAGAGACCTCGTGCACTGGGCCTGGGCTGTGGGAAGGTGACTGAACCACGAGGGTGGCAGAGCTGACTTCCTGTTAGGAGGTGGGGTCTGCCGGGAAGGTGGGTGTGTTTCCCTTCCGCAGCTTTGATTCTCTGGCTCCTGTCCGTCCTGCTGTGAGCAGCTTTCCTCTGCTGTGGCTTCCTGCCTCGGAGCCGGCAGACCGTGGAATTGTGTCTCAGTGACGAGAAAGTGACCAAGACGCACCTCAGTGTGACAAAGAATATCTACAAAAATCCTCAGCCAACACTTGGTGATGAAAGACAGAATGCTTCCCTCCCTCAGATCAGAGACGTGGATGGCAAGATGCCCACTCTCGTGCTGACTCAACATAAGGACGGAAGTTCTGGCCACTGCAATAGGGCAGGAAAAGCAAGGGAAGAATAACCCTGTCCGTAACACAATCAGCTTACTTGATCGTCCACACAGATCAATCCTGGGAAATCTAAGAAAAGCCCCCTGGAACTGATCAGCAAACTCAGTGAGACTGCAGGAAACAAGGCTGTGAATCCCTGATGAAGCTGGAGCCCTGGCGACCCAGTCAGTTCCAAAGCCCATCAGCTGGCCACTGAGCCGCCACGCGCAAGACTTTGGGGGCCACTGTAGACATCAACTATAGCATGAGTTCACATCCAAGGGCGAATGTCTGGGTCCCGTCGCAGCTCTGCAGTTAACTTTCTGAAGAGCTGATAAAGCAATCGGTGTTGACAGCTTTGTTGTTTGATGGTAAGAATTCCTTATATGCTCTGAATAACTGGACTTCCAGCAGATGTGTAGTTTGCAGACATTTTTCCCATTCTGTGTGTCATCCGTCCACTTTCTTGATAATGACCACAACAGAGTTCACTCTGACGATGTTCATTTGCCAAGACTTCCTTATGCTGCCTGTGCTGTGGACTCAGCAGTTTGAAGAATTTCCCTCCTCTTCCTGGTTTCTTGAGTGTTTAGATTACAAAAGGATGCTGATTTTGTCAAATGCTTGTTTTCTGTTTGTGTTGGGATGCTCTTATGGTTCTAAGTTTCACTGTATGAATCCTATGTCTTACATTGATCTCTGGTTGAACCAAACTTGTGTCCCTGTGACAAATCCCACCAGCCTGACCCTTCTTCTAAACTTCTGGATCCAATTTTCTAGTGTGGGAGCTCTGCCTGTTACCCACACAGGTCATGGTCTGTGCTGTTCTTTCCGTGTCTTTGTCTGGTTCTGGTATCAGCTAACCCTGGCCTCCCACAATGCACTGGGAAGTGTGCCCATGCTTTTTAGTTTTTTAAACCTTTGCGAAGGGTTGGTATTAATTCTCCTCTGAACATTGGACATAATTCCTTCATGAAGTCACTTGGCTCTGACCCTGGAGAACACTTCATGAGGCGTTTAAATGGTCACTAATTCAATCTCTACCCATTTTGGATTTCTCTTTCTTCTCTAGTCTTTCTAGAATCTCTGGGAATTGATTCTTTCTAGGAGTCTGGCCGTCCAGGTTGTTGGCATCAAGTGCTCATCATATTCATTTGTAATCATTGTAATTTCTGCAGGTTGGTGTGATGTCCCCGATCACCCCTGATTTTCTTCCTTTCTTTATCTATTCTGTTGATCATTTCAGAGAACAAATTTTGGTTTTGTTGATTTTTTTTTTGGGTACTGGGGATCGAACTTGGGACCTTGCGTTTGCGAGGCAGGCAGCGGAACTACCGAGCTAAATCCCCGGCCCTTGTTGATTTTTTCTACTGTTTTCTATCTCACTTTGATTTTCATTTTTCCTTCTGCTTACTTTCCTTTGCTCTTCTTCTGTTTCCTTCCTGTGGACCAGAAGTCTCCTCCTGCAGCTCAGGCTCAAGTACCAGGTGTGTCCCCCGCCCCTCTCTGTCTGGTCTGGGATGCAGGGTGTTTCTTTTCATTCATCCAACACTTTCTAATTTCCTTTGTGGTTTCCTCCTTGCACCATGGCCACTCAGGGATGAGCTGTTTAATTGCTGCGTACCTATGAACTCCCCGAAATTCTTTGGTTACTGACTTCTCATTTTATTCCCTCTGGGTCAGAGGACACACTTGGTATGATTTCAAGCCTTTTGGGTACACTGAGATTTTCTTTACCTGAGCTCCTGGCCTGTGATGGAGATCGTTTCCTGCGCCCTGAAGAGGGAGTATGTTCTGGTGCAGTGCTCTGTGGACCTTCTGATTCCTTGCTGGTCTTCCTCCTCCTCCTCCTTCTCTTCCCCTTTTCTTTTTCTTCTGTTTTGAGATGGGGTCCTGCTATGCAGTTCAGGTTTACCTTGAATTTACGATGTAGCCCACACTGGCCTTGAGCTTGTGGTGATCCTCCTGCCTCAGCCTCCTGAATGCTGGGATTACAGAGTGGGCCACATGCCTGGCATTCCTGTTTGGTCTTCTGTCTAGTTATTCTGTCCATTATTGGACTGAGAATATTGAAGTTGCTAACTATTCTTGTCAAACTGTCTATTTCCCTCATCAAATTGGTCAGTGCTTACTTTGTTTAGCTGAGGACTCTGGCTAGATGCAAATGTTCATAATTGCTGTATTGCTATTTTTCTTGGTATATTTTTGTCTGATTTTAGTACAGTTGCTTGGGCTCTCTTTTGGTTAATTTGCATGGTACACATGTTCAATCCTTTATTTGAACCTATTGGTGTCTTTGAATCTTGATTGTTTCTTGTAGGCAGCACATAGCTGGATCATGCTTTTATCCACTCTGATGATCTCTGTCTTTTAACTGGAGTATTTTCTTCACTTATAGACTGTGACAGCAAAATGATCATCTTGTCGTTTTCCTTCTGTATGCCATGTATTCTCTATTTCTCTTTCCCTCATTTAATGACTTTTCATGTGTTAAATAGAAATTTTCTAGAATGCTCTTTTAACTCCTTTATTTCTTTGCTATCCATTGTTTATTTATTTTCTTACTGAAAGACCCTAGTTAGCAAGACAGACTCCATATTGCTGCTTGACCCACCTGCCTGCCCTTTAGATGAACTCAGAAGGAGGAAGCTTAGAAACCTCCTCCCCTTAGAAAGTCTCTTGAGAAACAACAATTAATCAACTAGTGTTTTACAAATGTTCTAACAGCAGGACGTTCCGCTTCTGTACCTTTGCTTGCTTTGCTAGTTCTATCCCTTAGGGGGCCTAGAAACTGTTGGCCTCAAAGGCGTATAAAACATGTTTGTCTTCCCCCAGTCCGATGCTTAGCTCGGGTCCCGGCCGGTAATAAACTCCGGTGTGGATTTAATATCGGTCTCTGGTTGGTTCTCTCTCCCTGGGTCTAACACTTACCATTTGCCCTGCAAATTACAATTAAAACCTTAACCTGCAATGATCTAGTTGGGCTAATACCAGCTACATCCACTAGCAGACAACGTGCATGTCCTGTGTCGCTCCACCCACTCGGCCTCTGTGCTGTTATTGTCACACGGTCACGTCTTTACATGCTGTGTGCCCATCAGTGGCTTAATCATCGTTGCTTTTGCACCTAAATAAGGCAGGAGAAGATAGCTGAAGCCGAGGGCACTCGAGCTGCCTTCCACGTCCCCGCCATGGTTGCCTCTCTCGTACTCTGCTCCAATGTGTGTCTGGCTCCTGTCTGGCAGCCTTGCTCTTAGCCTGCATTGGCTGTCGTGTCTGTGATAGAGCAGGTCTGTTAGAGACCATTTTCCCCACCACTGTTTTTCTGGGAATATCTGCATTTCCTCCCCCTTCTCTGGACAGGACTGGGCTGGTGGGCCCAACACATCTTCCAGCAGTGTGATCCTCATTCTCACTTCCAGCCTTCACACTGTCTGAAGAAACCACGGCTGGCTGTCGATCCTATTTCGAGCCCCTGTGAATGACGAATCCCTTCCCTCTTCTGCTCTGGCTCTTTGTCTTGGTTCTTGTTGATGACTATGACCTGGGCGTGGCTCTTCCGCCTTCTTTGCCTTGTGACTGAAGCTCTCTGGTGAATTTTAATTTCAGTTGCTATACCCGATTTTCTACCTGGTCCATTTTTGTAATGTCTGAACTGTATTTTCTTTGTTTGGTAAGGTATCATTCCCAGTTTCCTTTAGTTCTTTGCAGATATTTAAAATAGCTGACTTGAACTCTTTGTCTAGTAGGCCCCAAATCTGGGCTTCATCAAGGAGTTTCTACGGACTCCTCTCTCCCCAAACACAGGCCGTACAGTCTTTTATTTTATTTTTTATTTCTTGAGACAGGGTCTCACTGTATAGTCCAGGCTGGTCTTGAACTCACTATGTAGTCTGGGCTGGCCTCAAACTCATGCCCATCCTCCTGCCTCAGCCTCCCAAGTGCTGGGATTACAGGTGTGCACCA